TACAGCACTTATGTGCTGCTAACCAGGGAGGAGGAAGTGGGTAAATCTGGCTGTTGTTTCAGTCTCTGCTACCATCCTTAAATTACTTTTGTCTTCTGCCTTTTGAAAAGGCACCACTTTCTCACTTCTAGTGCAAAAGGATGCTTGCACTGTGCAAACACGAGAGAGCAGGGCTTTAAATAGTGAATCCTGTCAGGAAAACATAGCACAACCTTTCCACTTTTGTTATCCTTCTTCTTGCACATTTTTCCTTTATATCCTTATTTCCATTTTTTTTGCAAAGTAGGTCTGAGAAAGCTAAAGGAGGACTGCCAATTTTCAATCCCAGCAGTGACGAAAAAGCAAACATTTAGTTCCTGATCTCAACAAGAAAAATGCCTTACGGACTCAGAACTGAGCTTTGTGTAACATCAAAGGGTTAAAATAACCAACTCTTAAAGGAAAGAGGAATAGCTCACTTTCAGCACATATTCTATTATTTGTTGAAAACTTGTAGGGTGGATGTAAGCTCGTTATCATTCACCAGAAGACAAAATTTGCTGCAGAAGGTACTCTTTGCAAGAGTAGAACAGCTAATCTCAGACCACTAATAGATTTAACCTTGTATATTCACAGATATTTAAAAGTGTTATGGTTTGAAGGTCAACTCCACTGTCTCCGAGTACAAGGAAAGAAAAGAAAGGAATAAAAATTAGAAAGAATTAATTCTTCAAAAAGTTTTTACAAATCAAAACCCTGCAGTTTCACACTGAGAACAAAAGAAGCATATTAAACACCAAAGTTTATCAAGACAAATTAGGTCCCAGTTTCAAATTTTCTTTAATCTTTTGCATCTGAACGTTTTTTTGCCTCATGCTGTTTTCCCTAGTTAAATGTTAAAATGAATTCTAGCCAATACCATTGACTTCCTCCCTTAAAAATATTGAGACACATAATAAAAAATTAATTACTTCCCCTAATTTCCGTGTGATTCTTTAAAAAGATGTAAAATTCATTTAAAGTAAGTGGTGACTTTGTCTTTGAAGATCACGACAATTAACATGGATCAAAGCTTAGGTTCTGTAACGATGATAGCTTATTAGCATAATGAAATTAACTTAGAGACAAGAATCTTTAATAGGTACAACAAAAACGCTTTAATAATACTTGAAGAAAATTATGTATTTGCTAGAAGTACAACAGTTTCAGACTTTCTATCCAATTAATAACTTGTTAATTAACTCCTTTTCCAAACAATGTGCACTTTAAGTTAACATCTGCCCATTGGATAACACTTTCCAATGGTATTTTTTTTAATATACTGTAGAACTGCAACGCTGTTTTACTGGGAATTCCTTGTAGGACTATTCTTATACGGGGAAACAGGACCCAAATATAGTAATATGCTTTCTACAGCCAACCAATTAAAAAAAAAGAGCAGGCTTATTTCAAAGATGGGGAGGAGGAATGGGTAATTCTTTAATTCTGGCTGTATTGTCTGTATGTAGTCTCAGATTTCTTTACATTTTCAATAGGAATTATTTCCTGGAGTTTATATTCCCCTGCAAAATGGCTCTCTGCTGATTAGTGCCTTATATAGACCAGATTTGGGAGCAATTATCATATCTTTTAAAAATATCTATTTATAGTTCCATGGTACAAGATTTTACAGTCTTGTTTTATAAGATTGTAAATCAATAACTATTGGTTTTGGAGACACAGAGAAGGAGGGTTCTTCACAAAATAAATTAAAATAGAACCTTTTGTATAGAAAGAGCATTTTCACAGACATTTCTTTGTAGTGCAGAATAGTAAGGGCTCTCAGCACTGGAATTTTTAATTAAAATGACACATTTTTGTTTTAGGGGCTTCTGCCTATAGAGTGGTGTGGGATCAAAAATTTCACAGAGCACTTTGCAAGTGGATTTGGAGAACACACGTGACTCTGCACTGCACGGGCTGCTTAGGCCAATGATGGAACAATTAAAGAGGCCTTATTTGAAACAAATGAGTTATTATATTCTGTTGGGTCAAGGATTCATGTTTTAATAAATCCCTAATTACAGTAACTTTTCATTTAATCTGGCGAATTCTAAGCAAGTTAAGAATTTATGAGAGTTGGAATCAGCAATAAAAAATATGCCTGTCTGCCATTCTGCTCAGGGCCACACAGGTTGAACTCATTTTGAGGAGCTTGGAAGCCAGAAATGCATCTCCTGAACAGGGCACTGTGACATGATTACATCTATGGACATATGAAATAGTATTATGCATGTATAAAACAATATTGTGCATGTATAAAATACACTGTATATTAAATTATGCATAAAATTGCATATAGGATTATTACGTTATAGTTGTTATTAATAATAGCCTGGAAAGCCTTCAATCCATTTTTTTTTTTTTTTTTTCAGAAATAAAAAAGAAACAACAGAAACCAACCAAATCCCCAGCATAACCATAAGAGCATTTCTGAGGGGGGTTATTTTTTTGCTTTGGCAAACTTATCCACTACCAACCTGTGACTACACAAAGCTTTTTGTGCACCATCCAGACAAAACTCTTCCAGTCACTACTGGCTGAGCTCGGGATTTCTATTTTTGATCATGTGTGGCACTGGCCAGGCTCCCCTCAGCTCCTGGTATATGGCTGAATACAGACATCTTTAAAAAAAAAAAAAAAACCAAAACTGAGTCATAATGAACATTTTCATATGAAATTTTCAGATTTAGAATTTTAGCATTTGGATTTGCTGGTTCAACACCACCTTGGCAAACATTGTCTCCTCTAGAACAGCACCCTTATGAGAATTAACTAATTAATACCCAGCAAACAAACATAGCACAGGCTTTACCATCCACTGAAACTCCTTTTTCTTTGGGGTTGAAACAAGGTGCCACCAGTAACTCACATGGAAGCTGCATCACAATGGAAAGAAATCAAGGAAACTGCTGCTTCCTACACACAAACAGGCAACACCTCAACCTTTCCAAAGTTTGTGGTCTCTTTACTGAACATAAATATGCAAAGTCCTGTGAATTACATCTGTAGCTGGCTGAAATTACTTTTTTTTTTTATTATTTTTTTGGTTGTTTCAATTGGAAAGTTGCTAGGGTGGGTTTGGTTGGTTTTAGGTGGTTTTTTTTTTTTTAATTGCAAATCAAACTTTATAATTTTTCAAAACTTGTCCTAAAATACCAAAGGCTGAAAATCCTTGTTTAGAAACAAAATAGAGCAAGAGCTGAGCACTGCAAGACCCTTTTAGGGGCCTGAGCTGCTCTAGAGCAATGGGGGCAGCACAAGGGACATTGGTTGTGTCCCAAATTACTCAAAGGCTTCCAGGTCTACCTTGTTGCTTGGGCCTGGGGCAATTCTGCCACCAAAATTCCTAATTTACTAGTTCAGGGATTAGTAAAATGAGGAGCCCTGTAGGCAGAAGGTTCACCCTGAGGAGGCTGACCCAGTCCTGGCAGGATTTGGGGCCATGCCCTGGGGACATCAGCACCAGCTGAGCTCACCCACTTCCAGCAGAATCTTTCTAAAAACAAAGACACTTCCTTTAAGCTCCTGGCTTTTGGCACACCAGGGTTTTCCGAGGTAAAACATTTCCAAGCTGTAAATCCATCAGATAACTCCCCAGTTCCAAGTTCCTTGGTATCCAAGAAATATGATCCAGCCTTGGCTGGGAAGTGCAGTCTAAGGAATATCATCACCTATTGCCTTTCCTGCATACTTCCATGCCATACCTATTTTTCCCTGGATGACTCCCAAGCTAGGAAAAGTCTCTCTCCTTGCTTAACAAAATCCAGTGTTTCAGCTGTACAAGACACTGAGTGCAGGCCAGAAACATTACAGATTCTTCTAAATAAGACATTATTATCCTTTACAGGAGGAAAAAGAGATCAGGCTCATCTCTAAGCTGAGAAATGCACTTACTGTTCCAAATTTTGAGTCAATATTCAGAGTTAGTTTATACATAAGGCTGTAGTGGAGATTGATTCAGTGCCAGAAGATACTAAATTCTCATTTTTAGTGAATGACCACCACAAAGAGTCGCCAGCCGCGAGTTTCCTTTATGATAACAAAGAGCTTGCCAGGAAAACCCTTGGTTAAAAAATGGTGCTGATAAATACACTGATTTAAAGATAACCGGTACAGCATTTCCTTTGTTCACACATGGTTTCATTTTTTGGTCAGCAGAACATATTTCCTTTGCCCAACTTCTCCTTCCAACAAGGTATTTCAGCCTTTTTCCTGCTTTGGAAACAGAAAACTCTATGACTAAATCAAGAGTAGATGATTTAGGTTGGCCTCACTGGCCACACACAAGAGCAGGATTTGACTGTTGAGAAATGGTGACGTAACAGGTTTTTGAAATTTTGTAAGAGCTTTCTCCACCCATCCTATTCCAAATAGTCTCCATACAATTAAAAAAAAAAAAAAAAAAAAAAAAAAAAAAAAAAAAAGAAAGGTCTATTTTTTATTGATTATTCCTTTCCTTTTGAAATATCACCTTTGCCCATCAATGTGGTGGTGTCAGTCCCAGCTTTCTGTGATTTCTCTCAGTTTTGCCCTGGATTTGGGATTCTCTTGATGGCCCTGTTCTTTCAGCGATGCTGCTCCTGTCTGCTTTCAGAATAATTTCTCTTTCACACTTCATTTGCATGTTTTTCTCACTGCATGGGAAAAAAACCCAAACAAGCACAAGTTTCCTTGTCTCCAGCTTCACAACTGAGCAAAACATATATTCCCCTTCCTTCCCATTCCCCCTACCCTGCTGTAGAGTTGGAAATGTTGCTTCAGATGTTCATGTGCAGCATTGTGGAAAACCATGTGCAGAATTGGGAAAGTCTGGGCTGAATCTCTTTGGATAATGACCTAGAGGTGACATTGCACTAAAAGGACAGAAGCTACCCAGGTTTCAGGTAAAGGCATAATTTTATCTTTTTAAACCCATCTTGGTTTAAAACCTTTAAGTTTTACTTGCAGATTTGGATAAATTTCACCTTTGAAACAGGAAATTTTCTCCAGTACTGTTGTTTTTATTGACAAGGACTTCCTAAACTTCAAGTGCAACACAACAGACAAACTGAGTCAAAGGAAGAGCTCCCTGGTGGGGTCAACCCAATCACAGTGATTTTAGTCACTACTTGCAATTTAACTCTTTCTTCCTGCAAAAATTGCACCACTCACTGAAAAATTAAGGCAGAAACCACTTTAGAAAAGTTACATTACCCATTTAAGAAAAACAAACAATTTAGAACCTAAGTTCTGATGGAGGTGTTCCTGCCTACACCCAGAACTGAGCTGTTACCTGCCCCTCCTGAAGAAGTTAGACCAAGATGAGTCTCCTCCAGCTGAACAGACCAAGTCACCTCATCCACTCCTTGTGTGTCTTCCTCTTCTTCTTTCTATACTTTTGTAGCCTGAGTTTCACAGGTTGGGGTTTCAGGGCTCTGCCCAGCAGTTTTTATTTGTTACTTGTGTTATACCAGCAAAAAAATAAGGCACCAAGAGCCTGCTCTGTGTGCACCCCTCACTGCTGAGTTCCAGCCCAGCCACAACCCACAGCATTGCCCTGCTCCTCTTGGCCCTCATTACTGAGCACTCAGCATTCTCACCCCGCTTGTCTGCTCTTTAATAAGAAATAAAGTTGTTTGTTTATTTTATACCTATTTAACTTGTCGTTTAAGATTTGCAGAATGCCATCAATCTCTGCCTCAGCACGTTGACCTCACTTTAATTGGTGGGGCTCTAAATTCTGCACAGATGTTATTACTGTGAATATAACTTTATATAGCAAGAAATTTGGGGCTGCCATATGCTGTCTTTTACGAGCTTGCAGTTTGCAATGAATATCCATGACTAATGCTTGTGACCCAGGTAAGCCTGTGATTAGGGAAGGTAAAAAGTTTACCAAACTTTATTGCAGCACTTTCAGTAATTTCACCAACAACTAATGAACACATCTCCCCTGCCTCTGCATTGGTACAAAAAATTGCTTAGCTCTTCTTAATATATCTGTCAACATCTAGTGCCATTCTGGGACTCTCATGAGTCAGCCAAAATTTTCTGCATTCATAGATTGCATATCAGAGGGGATAAGATGATTTCATCTGATATCCAGCATAAATCAGAGCTTTTTATGTTTTTCTAATGGTTTCTAGTTGTGCTTGGGGGAGTTGGCTTTTTTTTTATTGAATAAACTGGGGTGAAACTTTCTGAAGGTTAGTAGGATTTAGCCAGGTGCTAAATCCAGAATTCAAATACATCTACTGAGTCTAGACAGAAGTAGAAAAAACAGAGATACATGGAAATTAGAAAAAACTTTATGAATTATGATTTATCATAAATGTTTTAAATTTCATTCCACCCAACACAACAGCTTCAGTTTAGATGAAGCTCCGAGAAAACCTGTTCACTGTGAGTAAACTTATTGGTCTCAAGGCCTGGGAGAAGCAAACATTATTTTAGCAAAAGAGAAAACTGGAGAGGAAAAAAGTAGAAACAAGCCAGTGGGTTTGAATTAGTCATACAAATATTTGCAATGCAAAGTAGGAGAAAGTCTTCAGTCAACAGAGAACTGAGGTTGTGGTGTCTCCTCACTGCAGGAATGGAGTCAGGAAACTTCACTTGTCCTAAGATAGAACTTTCCAGGGTTTCAAAAGTGATTTCATGAAGTGCAGCAGCAGATAGAGGCACCTGTAGATCAGAAGTCCTTGCCCAGTCTTATTTCCATGTCTCAGCCTTACCCCTGCTGAATACTGTGCCCAGATATCAGTAAACTGATAAATTATAAAAACTGATAATTTTATAAATTCCTGCTCACTGTCAGAAAAATTTATCACAACCAGAAGCATAGAAAAAAAACTGAAAATATGAATAAATCTGAAGCACTACAAAGTTCAAGTTGCTGGTTGATAAGCAGAAATATGTTTGCAGCAGGTCCTGTGTTCCCAGCAGCTCTGTTCACATCTACGGAGTCAGCTCACGAAACAGGAGTTGGAGTGCTGCTCTCATGAGTCACTCTGCTTGGAAACCTTTATATATTAAGAAAAGAAAAAAAAATCCCCAATCAAAAAAACCCCACATGTTAAAAGTATCTTAGCCAAGCATGTTATTTCTCTTAAATATATAACAAAACACAACAGTCCTCAAGGTAAATATCCTCTGTTTTATTACTTTAGATCACTTTTCAGTGCTGTAATCATGTCATTAGGATTGCAGTTACTGGCTCCAGAAGAAATAACCACCTAACTATAAAATTCTGGTTTCCCAGTCTATTTTGAGGGGACAAGCAGAGGTCAGTGGGTCTGAGCCCCTACCACTGAAACCAATGGCAGTAAGTTCAAGTCTCCTGCTCCGTGGTGTGTCCCAGGGAGAATATTTCTTTTTTTTTTTTTTTTTTTTCCTCAGCTGCAGTTTCTAACAGATGTTCAGGCAGCTCATGTCATTCTTCTGAACTGAATTAGAGAGCTGTGTCAGGAAAAAAAGTGTGGACAGTCTGTGTCACCCATAGATGCACCAGCAACACTCTGCTGGCACCACTGGGGGCTTCCATATTTTTGATGTTTTCTTTTGCAGCTAAAAAAACCATTGAAATGGGGAAAAAGCAAAGTTTATTCCTTTGCCTTATAGGTGGAATTTGAACAATAAATCATTGAAATCAGTCTTCTACAGGTCTCTGTGAGGCCACCACAGTGTTTCCAAGGATCTTAGCTTTTCCTCTGAGACTTTTTACCTTACTGTGCAATATCCTTGAGGATAAGAGCTCAAAACCTTTGTTTTCAGCCTATTATAGCTAGAATAGGCTTGCATTATGGGAATTGCTTATTTCATGTTTCATAACATATCGTAATGCATTATGCTTTTTTTTCACTACCTCTGGAGCCAGGAAAGATGCATCTGTCATTAACTTCTGCAAAAAATAGGATAGTGGGGACCAAAGGACAACAAAAGATGATTTCACACTGAGAGGCCTCTCCCTGCAGCAACAGCACTCATCAATAATGGTAATAGCAGGTGGCAGCAAGACACAAATGTCCTTAAACTACCTTTATGCATCTCTATGCTGTTTTCTTGTCCCATCCTGCAGTCAAGATTTGGATCTGCCCTGTTGGAAGATCCCCTCCCACATGGTCCAGATGGGCAAAATCTGCATCAACAGGTGCTAAATAACATGTCCAGAGACCAAATCAGCCCAGCATAACCCCAAGAGATGCTGAAAGCTACTTTTAATCCCAGGCACCTCAGCTCCTACTGGGACTGACATACCATGGGTGTGCAGATGAGGACTCCAATGGCCCTTAAATAATGAATTTATTTATTCTTTTTTCAGAGCAAGATTTGGGGTATTCTTCAATCCCCTTTCAAGGTGATTTTTTAGCACTCCAGCATATACTTGCTGTGTTTCCTGAGGTCAAATCAGTGGCAGCTTTAATTGCACTTACAAGGAATGCTGCTAAAATGGGCACAGAGTCCTAAACTCAATGTTTTCTTCATTATTTTGCAACTTTGGGAGCCTGCCAACATCGTTGCGAGATTTGGCATGCACTTACCTGGAAAGAATGAGGCTTAATATTTCATTTCAGCTTTGCAAGGTTTTCTCCTCCCGCCAAAAAAAAGAGCAAGCAGAGGGATCAGAAACACAGTCAAAGGGCAAGGCTGGTCCCTCTGATGTTGGCATAGATCAACATGGCTCTGCAAGGTTCTGGGGAGCTCTCCTGGAAATCAAGAGCAGCTCCACCACAAGTGGCTGCACCTTCAGCAGCTGCTTCACCACTCTGCAAATTCGTGTGCACAGGGAATATTTTTACCTCCGCACTCCTGAGGCTGGATTGGTAGGTCACAGAATCATTAAGGTTGGGAAAGACCTCTGAGATCATCAAGCCCAAAAATTAAGAGGTGAGAGGTTTGTCACGCTTGGAGGTGTGAACTGCAAAGGCCGAGCTGAGAACCTCACCTGCAGTCCTAAAGCCAGATCTGTGTTTAACTCCTGCTTTAGACCTTTAATACCGAAAATAATCCTCTGACAGCTGTTACTTGGTGCTTGGAACCCACAGACTGATTTTTGTTGATTATTTTAATGTAAAATATTTTGACAGCCTCAAAAAGGGGGTGGAAACCACCACCCATATCCCACAAGAGCTGCTGTCCACCAACACCTCAGCAAGTCAAGGTCAGGCTGGACAGGGCTTGGAGAAACCTGTTTTAGTGGAAGGTGTCCCAGCCATGGCAGGCAGATGGGACAAGATGAGATTTAAGGTTACCTTTATTAGAGGAGGGGTAAAAGGTTGCCCTTTTGCTGGTTAAATGGTTTAAAACATGGGCTCCATAGGGCTGGAGTCCCTCTGGAAAATCATGGCACTGGAGCTGGGTTGTTTGTGGGCTGGGATGGTACTTACACAATACAGGTGCTGCTTGGAACCAGGGTGGCTCCTGAGGAGAACACCAGGAAAGGGAGATCCACTGCAGTGACAAGGAGTGGATGCTTCCTCTGTCAGGATGCTTCAGCTGCTGAACAAAAATATTTTCCTGATTAGATTCCTAAAGCTGTGCTTCCTCCATCCATAATGTCTGACTTTCTCCACTCAGGATGCAAAAACTCCTGATTCGAGATAAAATAATCTACCAGGCCTACAATTTGAGCATAGCTTATGTCAAAACCTTTCTGTGGATCTGGTCTTCCCTCTGCAGCCACCCCACTGAAAGGATTCAGCTCTTTGGGAAATGAAACACTCTTCAGTGGGAATAAGGATGTCAGACACCGTTTCCAAAGGAGCGATGCCTCGGTATATTTTGGTTTAATATTCTTATGTCAATGACACTGGTAGGAAATGGGAAAAGGTAAAAGCTCTGTGAGGCATGTAAATCAGGAATGGGAGTGTGACAGCAGAGGCTGGCACGGCTGTCACCGGGGCTGGCAGGAAACATTCCCTAAGGACCTGAATCCCCACCAGCACTCCCGGCCGAGGAGTTAAATTTTGCTGTTCGTCTCAGCGGCATAAATCCGTAGCATTTTGACTGAATCCCATAAAAGTAAATCAGCGTAAGTGAGGCCAGGCTGCAGCCCCACAATCCTGCAGGACCAACGCTGGGAACAGGGGCCGGCGATCGCAGCTCCCTGGTCGCAGCACACGGAGCCAGCCAGGGAGCAGCTGGGAGGCAGCCAGATGGGCAATGAAAGGGGCACAGCCAGAGCCTCAAAAAAATAGCTTTTTAATCGTAGGAAATTTTTGCAAGACATAAAGTTGAATTATTTTAATTTTTTGCTCCAGCAGCAGAAATTTAAATGCTGCCGTTTGCACAGAGAGGGTTGTTTGTTTTTTTTTAAAGTTGTTTTTGAGAGGCTGTGCTTAAAAAGGGGCTGGTATTAATCATCTCTACGTCAGGCAAGTCTAAAGGGGCACATCAGGCAGCTCCTTGGAGGAGCTGATGGACAGGGGTCTGTTCTGCTGGCTGGTGTGTTTTTCAGAGCGGGTATCAAATGGGTCCACGTGGCATGAACAGAACATAGCTCCAGATGGGAGAGCAGTTCCCATCTCTTGCAGAGTAAATCTGCTGTTTGAGACTATATTCTATGACTGAAATTTTATACATATGACTTTGTTGGAGCTGGGATCTCTTCCTTTGAAAATGTGCTACAATAATAATTGCATTTACCAGTTGCCAGTCCTCCTCGCAAAACGTGGGGTTTTTTTCGCTCGGATTGTGAAATTAATTGTCTCTAGCTAATATAATTAAAAACAAACACTTCGGATTTCAGCAGAGGGAAAGGGGAAGGGAGAAAGAGAGGGGATAAAAAAATAAAAAAGCAAACTGCAAAACTGCAGCCCTGATTTTTTTTCTATTGACAAGAAGAAAGCTCTGCCATCCCTGAACTGTTTAATTATTGAAATGAACTGTAACAGTACACTGGATTGTTGCCGAGGTCACCGAGTAGTACTGGATGTCGAGAGGAAAGCAGCAGCTCCAAGAGCCCTGCAACGCCCCAGGCTCCGGGTGAAATCCCACACACTTTTTCTCAAGCATTCAGGCTCTGATAGGTAGCCTGATAACATGGCTGCTTTGCTGCTATTGCAGAGGTCCAACGGTGCTGGCTTGTTTTAAGACGAGCCAAACTATGCTCTGGTGGCCACCGTGACGCTGTGATTCCCATGCCCTATCGCATTCCTCTTTCTCAGATCCCAGGCATTTTTTTTTTTTCCCCTACGTGCAGTCCAGGATGTAGACAAATGAATTCCAAGTGACCTATGTGGGGGTGGACTCTTTGGAAACAAACAACAAAAATAAGATATCTCCTGTCCTCACTTTTTCATTTGCTCGTTCCCTGGATGCAGTTTATTCGTGGCAATGAAATACACATTGTGTCTCTGGAGTTAGATCCAGCAGCAACATCTTTACCACCCCCTAACCTTGGCTTTTTTTTCTTCTTCTGCTTTTTTTTTTTCTTTTCTTTTCCTGATTTCCTATTTAAGCCTTTACAAAAGACATCTTGTTTAACATTATCTGCTCCTTTGGAAGTCAGGCTGCCCTCTAAAGCCTATCATATGAAGGCTTGCTATTGATTTAAACAATGTTTTTTTACTGGAAAAAGTTTAAGAAACTGGAAGTTTTGTAAAAAAATTTTGTATCCACACTGACAGGAGGATCTGTTGGACAAATAATGACTGTTTGCAGGGAAAAGGAAAAACTTCTTTTGAATCTTTCACAGTGAAGAAAATCCTGTAGATACAAAAAACCGCTAAAAAGAAATAAAAACTGCAGTTGAGGAACAGACAATAAACATTTCAGATTGCTTTATGGTGCACTATTACAGACAACTATGTTGCTTAAGTAGGCATAACATTTTTCACAGTATATATTTAAGTTTTTTTATGGGGTAGATTAACAGCAGAGATACATAGCTCTTAAAGGGAGGGCAGAAATAATTTCTGCCACTCCAGTGGCCGGATAGGTCACAAAAAATCTTTTTAGAAAGCAAGAAAAATGCCCTGCATGGTCAAGCAGGAGCAGCCTCCAGCCTACCCTGATGTTCATGGGCTGCACACAGAGCCCATGAAAAGCCAGGAGTGACTCCTGGGACCAGTTCTGGCTCTGGAGAAGTTTCCCAGGGTGTTGCTGGCACACCTGTGGAAGATGCAGCTCTGCCAACTGGCCAGAGCAGCACTGGGAAGAGTTTCCAGCTGTGAGGCATCGCCCCTCTCCCAGCACCAGCACTCCTGGAGCATCCACGAGCCCACTGGCAGCAGCCCCTGGCTCCTGCTGTCACTCAGCCTGTCCTACTCACCACAGCCCACATGTCAGACTCTCTGGGCCACCACAGCCCCTGGTGGACCTCAGCTGTGCTCCAGAGTGGCTCTCGAGGACAGGGAGCTATGCAGTGCCATCCCCTCGCAGGCTGCCAGCCCTGCGAGACTGAACAATGGAACAAAGAATAATGGGAAAGAGCAGCATTGTGTTGGATTCCCTTTGGCTTCATGAAAATCAGTGATGGCCTTCAGTTGTGGGTGCTCCAGAGCTCTCCTGGCTGTGCACAAAGCAAAGAGCAGAGGGGCAGCATTTGGCCAGGCAGAGGTTCTCAGCACTTCTCCCCTGCCCCTGACTCCGTGGGCTGATGGGGAGGGTTTGCCAGTTCACAGAACCCCAGAAAGGCATGGAAAGGACCTTGAAGTCCATTTCATTCCACCCCTTTCCATGGGCAGGGACACCTTCCACCATCCCAGGCTGCTCCAAGCCCCAATGTCCAGCCTGGCCTTGGGCTCTTCCAGGGATCCAGGGGCAGCCACAGCTGCTCTGGGCACCTGTGCCAGGGCCTGCCCACCCTCCCAGCCAGGAATTCTTTTCTAACATCTGATCTAACCCTGCCCTCTGTCAGTTTAAAACCATTCCCACTTGTCCTATCGCTCCATGCCCATGTGAAAAGTGGCTCTCCAAATATTTAGCTAATTTTTTAACAGTCCAAAGGAAATGAGAGAAAACTGATTTTTATTATTCCCCATGGAGTAACAACTTGCTCTGTTCCCCAGTTGACTTTTAGCTCCTTGGAAACACACACTATTTACTCCAGATGCTCCCACCAGTGGCTGGGTCCTCATGGGACCTCCTTCACCTTCCCTGGAATATGCAGAGTTTCCACAGAGGCAGAGGCGCTGATCTTTTTGTAAATTATGTGCACTGAACTAAGCAATTTAACAGTTCATTCTCCCAGGTAGCCAGTGACCACTGTATCTACTTAATTTGACAATTAATCTTTGGAAGGCTGGTAGCCATTTTAGATTAACTTTTTTTAACTTAAAAAATCAGTAAGCAACTTCCTCCTGGTTAATTTTTCTTTTTATTTTTTAGTTTTTCTACATATTTCCAGTGGTCATCTTGTCTACTAAAATTGTTCATCCTTTTTCATGCATCACTTTGGGAATCAGAGGTGGAGGAAGGTGGGAGACTTGCTAAGAAATTGGAAGACATTTTACATTTTTTAAGTAGGTAAGATTAAGTGTTTGCGCCATAGTTTACAATTATAATAAAATAAATCTAGAAACTATTTCATGTATGAGAGCATGTGCATTAGAAAACATATTTTTGTAACAGATAACCATCTTCTGAACACTAGAATGTTGGTAATTTGTCAGTTTTTCTTTTAATTAAAACTGTGTATATAGTTCATGCTCTGTTTGATTCAGTGTCAACATTTTGGATGGGGGCTAAAACTGATTTCCTCTTAAATCTTTGCATTTCTCAGGACAACTGATGAAGTGTGCCTCAACATTAAGCTCACAAGCCCATGAGGTTTTGCCTGTTTCAAGATCAGTAAATCAAGAGACATTAGAGCAACAGCCCTGATAAGACTCAAGACTTCCAACACTTCTGTTAATGCTCTCTTTACCAAAAATGCATCAATTTTTCCTGTCAGACAACCTGTTTTAATTCATTGCATCATAACCAAGCTGGTCCACTGTAAAATGAATTAAAACTATGCTAGTTAGGAATTCAATTCTGAATATGTTTCTCATTGCAACCCATAAAACATTTAAATGTTTAATTTTTTTTTTTCTTAACAACAGAAAAATTTGCCTGGTGTTTCTCTAAATAATTTTTTAAAAATATATGGGTTTTTTTAATTTTCAGTCTTCCTTTCTGAAAATATGAAAACTTGACTGGTCTGGGTTGGAATGGACCTTAAAAATCATCCAGTTCCACACCCTGCCATGGTGTGGAACTGTTCCAGGCTGCTCCAAGCTCCATCCAGCCTGGCCTGGGACACTTCCAGGGATCCAGGGGCAGCCACAGCTTCTCTGGGCACCTTGTGCCAAGGCCTCACCACCCTTATTGGGAAGTATTTTTTTCTGTACATCCAACCTAAATTTCTCCTCTTTCAGTTTGAACCCAGCACTCCTTGTCCTGTCACTACATTCCTGATGAAAAGTCCCAGATCTGGGTGAATTTGGAGCTCAGCGCTCCTGACTGTCACGCACAGAGTGGAAATAACCACCACATTTCTTAAAAACACACACATCTCACCACATTAACTCCAAGCCCCAGTTCCTTCCACCTTGCCTATTTTAATAAATACTCGTGGCACTCAATAAAATTAAAACATCAGTGAGCAAAACAGATCCATATGAATTTTCCCCCAGGGATTAGCAATGGAGAGGAAGAACATCTGGCACAGGAGAGTTGTGTTGCTGGCTGTGCTCACTGATAGGTGAGTACAGTGATAATCTCATTTATCTGCAATGTACCTGAATGCTTCTTGGATCAAAACTTGGGAAAGGCAAAGGAAAAGACTGAAAAGTGAGAAAGCCTGCTCAAAAAAAAGATGGCAACTTCCAGGTGTAGTCAGCATGGCAGTGAGGTGCTGGATTCCCTGGGAATTACCTCAAGACACACACGGTGAGAATTACTTTGGAGAGGATGTGAGGAAAAGCACACCACGAGAAAGAGGAGCAGATGCATCTTTCAAGCTCAGTATTCCTCATGCCTCTAACTTCACATGCCCTTTTACTAATTTTCTACGCTGATAATCTATAGAACCTAATTACACAAAGTCTAAGAAAGCTCCTTCCACGAAAGGCATAATGCTGATATCTGAGTCACGAGCACAGTTAATGTAATCTAACACATATTGCGGGAACCTACTGCACACAGATATTACCAATTAGCACATGATTTTAACAATCAACATTCATGCAATTAATAGAACACTTCATATTCCTTCTAATTTTGAGCTCTGCATGAGCATATGTTATCATGACGGAATGTGGGATCATTTATTTATACTGGAAGCAAGGCACCACATAGAAATCAGAGATGCTGAAAGTTAGCCTGAGAGTGAAATAGGCTCAGCTTTGCATTGAAGAAAGGATTTTATTAGTCTGACTTCTAAAAGTTGAACCTTTGCCTTACCTTCTTGTTGAACCTTGCTGCTGGTGAACTTCTGGAGAGGAAACTGTGTCCTGATTACAGCCGGGGAATACAACAATGTGTTCATCAGCAAGCACTTCTCTGTAAAATTGAAAACTATGACATAATCGTCACTCAAAAAAAAGTAAATAAATATGTCTTGCTTAGATATTTATATATATATATATATATATATATATATATATATATATATATATATATATATTCAAAGATAACAATAGATACCTTGTTTTCCACAATTATGTATTATTTTTCTTTACTGAGAACAGGAAATAATCATTCTACTTATAGGACAGGTGAGGCATACAGAGATTAAACCCAGATCTCCACAGTGTTTAGCCACTCACTTACTTTGAATTCCACGGGATTTAGGCATTTAATACCTTTAGGAACCAATGCTGTTTATTTTTCTGGCAGCAGAGGAAGCAGGGAACCAAACATCTGTTCCCCAGTGATGTTGCCAGCCTACCTTACCTGTCTCTCTCCCCTTCCTCCGTGGTGCTGACATCAGTAAGAAGTAATGACACTATTTTAATTACTGAAGCCTTAGCTGTGTCACTGGCTCGTTAAGGAGATGAGATTCTCAGTAAAGAAGGTGGGTTTTGCATGAAGGCTGCAAAGACTGACACGGTACTGCTGCAGTGGCTGGAGCTGCTGCATTCCCTGTCTGACTTTGCTCCAGAACTCCTTCACATCCCCAGCTGCCTGGTTACAGAGATGTCCCTGAAGTGGTTCCTGCCACTGAAGACATTCCAGCAGACCTCCCCAGCCAAGCACACCTTTCAGGAGCTCCTCCTGGCAGCTTGGGCACACACCTGTGCCAAACCAGCATCCCACCATGCTGACCTTCAGTTCAGGAGGATGTCTCCTCTGATCCCTGTCACCAGGGAGTCCCTTTCCACCTGCAATGGAAGGTGGTGGCTGTCCCCTCGTTGCCTTTCCAGTGGGTTAGGAGCAGCATTAGGTCCCCTTGGGCTCCTGCTTTGGGAAGAGCTCTAAGCCCAGCATGGGGAGGCTGTTGGTGCAGGGAATTCTCTCAGCAGCAGGCACCAAAGCAGCTTAGACTGCAGATGTAGACTCCAAATCATTGTCTTTCCCTCTTTTGGGACAAGCTCCTGGGAGAATTTGGTTTACCAAACATCTGATGTGTATTTATCAACAGGAGAAAAGTATAACTGTATTTCTAAAAAATGCCAGGACATTATTTATGTCTCCCATTACTGCCTTCCCCCATGAAGGGAGCCTTCACAGAAACATCACTTTTTGGGCTGCTGCTGTTTCAAACAAGAGCAGATTAGAGCAATCACAAGTTGATAAAGAAAAGAGAGATTTCACCTGTGGCTACACCGCTCGTATTTATCTCAAGAACTCTCCAACACAGTATTGGTAAAAAAAGGTGGTGAACCCTCTCTGAAAGTCAGTGCCTGGCTGTGCAATATCCACACTTGGAAACAAGGATGCAGTTCAGCCACTCCAGATTTCCATGATGATCAGGGCAGATGTGCAGCTACAGACAAATGAGAGGGGGAAAAAAGGAAAGTGTCAAACTCAGTTTGTCCGAGGTAACTTCAGTGAAGGTAATAGAGCAGCGTGAGTGTTACTGACAGAGGTAAACAGAGCCTAATGGTTTTTACACTGAGTAAATGCATTAACAGTGTCCTTCCTGCCAAAAAGAAATCAAAAGATACTTTTCTCCACCAGTATCTTCAGTAAACTTCCATTTTTCTTAACCATTATTTTTATTGAAGGCTTTACTGCACAAAGGATCCAGGGGGACAGGAAATCACATAATGGGGCAGGTTGGGGAATTCTCTAAAAATACGTAACCATGGCACCCTTGTCATTACCAATCAAGTGTTCTTGATAAAAAGTAAAGTAATTAGCCTTTGAGAGGAGCATAAAGCTAATTAAAAATGACAACTTAGTCATCTCAACAAACAACAGCACAGAACCAGTCCAGAGTTCTAACTATAGCACAATGTGATAACCTGACCTGCCACAACCACTTGCCTTCAACCCCTTAAAAGAAAACACAGGTTGTGAGAGGGAAACTTTGATAACCACTTCCTTTGCTGTAAAATCTAGATTCATCTCATCTACCATCCAATATTTCTGTTTGTTCTCAGAGTTTCTAAGACAGTTTTGCCCAACTATCAGACATTTTTCCAAGTGAAATGATGGAAATTCGTGTAGTCTCCTAAAAGGAGATGACAAAATGTGAAGCACGAACATATGCATTGTCAAAAAAATTCACAAGCTGCAAATGAGTTGAGTCTCATAACAAAGTTGCTTGCTCAGAATTTATAAATAATAACCAGAAACAAAAAGAAACCACTGGTCTCTCACTTACAGAGCAACTGGGGTTCTGTCCTCTCACAGGTGACAATGACAAGATTTTAGTTCAGTTCTTTGGAGCAAGAATGAGTATTTTTTCATTTCTTGTCCTACAAAAACCCTTGAGGAGGACACATTATCAGAATATTATTAAAATTACCACCATTTTTTCTTAGCAGGTGTATTTACTCACATTGCAGGTACTGAGTTACTGTATTTTCATGGAATCATAGAATGACTTGGGTTGGAAGGAATCATGAAGATCATCCAATTCCACCCCTGCCATGGGCAGGGACACCTCCCACTGTCCCAGGCTGCTCCAAGCCCTGTCCAGCCTGGTCTTGGGTGCTTCCAGGGATCCAGGAGCAGACACAGCTTCTCAGGGCCTCTCCACCCTCACAGGAAGGATTTTTCCTAATCTCCCATCCATCCCTGCCCTCTGGCAGTGGGAGCCATTCCCTGAGTCCTGTCCTTCCATCCCTTGTCCCAAGTCCCTCTCCAGCTCTTCTGGAGCCCCTTCAGGCACTTTTTTAAATCTTCCCCTTTTCAAACCACCAGATTCAACTAAATATTTCCTGACATAAACACACATATATATTATATATGTATAATTAAATACATTTACTGCAGCCAGCAACCTGTGGCGTTACATTCCTTAGAGCTGAGAGCTCATTCTCATTAAGGATTAGAGCTCTGGAATCACAAAATCATTGAGTTCAAATCCAACATTACCCTAACAATGCTGAAGTGCCCTAACCTAAAGTGTGTGCATACAACAGTCTCCACTAAATTTTGGCACAGCTCCTAAGCCCATACTCACAAAATTAGATTTAAAAATGATAAACCAGTGATGGGCCAAGCCCAAACACTGGGTCCTCAGCAGGTCCTTCTGAGTGATGCTGATACTTCATCATGCTGACAGACTTTCCTCCAGCATGGAGGAAATCCAGATTTGATCCTCAAAACAAGGATTGACTGGAATAGGAAAGGAGGTAGAAGAGATTATGGTTATGTTTTGAGTATCCCAGACTAATCTTTCAGTATAGTTTCAGTTCCTGCTTGCTGGGAAGGTCAGAACAGTGACTTAGAGAAGGCCTGAGGCTGCTGAGATGCAACACATCCGAAGCACCCCATGAAACAGAGTGATTGCAATGCAGTGCAAGCAGTGAAAACTTAAGCTCCTTTGACTTGCAGCATATATGAATATATGAGAGGGTAAAATACTTACAGATGTGTATCTAGACCAAATAAAAAGGCCTTGTAGAGACAGGGAAATATGTATCTTGTGCTGCGCTGCTTGCAGTCCTAGGAAAGCTTGAAGCAGAAATAAAATGTTTGCTTTTACTCTGAATAAAGGCAGGATGAAAAGAAATTCTGAGCAGCCGTGAACTAGATAAAGACTTTGATCCTGCTTGGTAAGACACAGCTCAGGAAGGCCAGCTCTGGCTTAGGAAGGAGAGTCTCCCTAAGCCTCCTCTGCAGCTGGTGCAGAGCGGGATCATCCATCCCCAGCTGGAGTAAGGAGGCACTGCTCCCTTCCAATCCATGGAAACAGACCAACACATACAGCCTGAACATCTTAGGCTGGGATCCCAAATCTACAGATCTGCACCTCTGCAGAATTATTCACACGCCAAGCGTAACAACATTGGACAGCCCTTCCTGAGCCCTGCTTTACAAGCTTTTCATTGAAAACATTTTCGGGCTGAAATTTTTCCTCCAGCTCAATTCTGTATCGTGAATTCGGTGCAATTCTGAGCTATTCCAGTTTGCTTTTTCAATTCTTTAAAGTGTTTTCTCAAAGATATTTGTAAAGGCTTGTGTCTAAATGCATTTTAAAGGCCCTAAAGGAAATGCAGTTTCTTTTCATACGCCTACAGGACAAGCAGGTGTTCTGGTCTCAGACTCTTAGATGTTATAGGACATAAGGGAAGATAAGAGAAGTGCTGCTTTTCTCTTCCTTTTCTTCTTTCCCCCAGCAAAAATTACAGTTTTACAGGGATGAGGTAGTAATCTACCACACCTGCAAGGAGCAGACATCTACTTGATCTTTTGACACGCCATTTCCTTGTGTAGGGATGGTGGAGATGAAAATTAGGTATTTTTCTTGTTAGGAAAGCAGAAAAGAGTGAAATCACCTACTCTTGTACCTCTCCTTAGACCTACAGGCACTAAACTTAATTCCAAGTTTAACCTGGAGAAAGAAATGGAAAAAATACTCTGTAAGGAGCAGGACTGTGCTGGCAGCAGAGGGGATTCAGTGATCTAATAATTCCTTTTCCAGCTCTGATTTCTTTGATACTATTTATAAAAATTGAAGAAAACTGATGGACCACTCCAAACAAACTGTTACCATAAACCAACAGCAATCAACAGAATTGGCCCTTTAAGAGTTGTGTGGAGAGAGGGAGAGGACTAATAACGTACCTTTCCTGGTCCTGGGCTATGTTTATCTCCCATATTTATTTAAAAGCAAATCAAAATACTTTTAAACAAGTCGGCTGGTTCCAAATTTAGGAACAATTGAACAAAGAGGAATCTGCTAATTCCAGATGGAGTGCATATAGTCCCTTGGCACTTATTACTTACCAAATGTTTCAGAAAGCAAACACATGACCTAAAAGATTTCGTGAGTGTGGGGTCCTCAAAAAGCTTTTAACAAGTCATGTATTTCCAGCCATATTTACTTTACCCACACACAAAACCCCTACTTCGTTTTTCTTTCCATTCTTTTTTTCATTTTCTTTTTTTTTTTTTTTTTTTTCAGGCAGACAATGCTGCCTTTAAAGACTATTTATGGATGATTCAGTTATCCCATAAGGGCAGGAGCTCTAAAGGTGTCTCCTTTGAAAGGCTTCAGCTGTGGAGCATCTGCTGCCTGCCAGGGCCACCTTCCCTGCTGGGTGCAGGTGTTTTGCTAAAGTGGGATCCTCCTGCCCAACCCTGCAGGAAATGGGCACCCACAGATGGTTTCTTATCTCAAAGAGACGCAAAATATTTCTCTGTGGTGGGTTTTTTCTCCTTTTAAACCTGCTCCTTCACACACCAAAGTTGTCCTCCAACATCCTGCCAGGCAGTGCCAAGCCATGATGTACCTCCAGGCAAATTAATTGAGATTTTTTTTTTTCTTTTTTAATGCATTTCATATTTGTTGCTGAGGTGTTTTAAATTAATTTCATAGGAAAATTAGTCTAACGAATGCAACTTGGAATTTTTTAGGGAGTATTATATTCCATTATTATAATTGTTTCCTCCCCATATTAAATACTTCAGGGGAAGAATAAAGTAGGAATTCTTGATTTTTGAGGCAGTTTGATGGAAGTCAGTGATTTTTCACCACTCCCCCACCCCGGGAGAGCAGAGGTGGCAGTGACATTGCCATCAGTGTCTGTCCCAAGCCTCTGGAGCCAGCAGCATGTGCAGGTCCTTGTAGGCAAAAATCCCACCTGAGTGACTGCTTTGGGAGACCTTCACTAAACCCCTTCAGTCTGAGAGAGCAAAAGGGTTTCACTTCTGTTCTAGGTGGCAATTTTCATGGCACAGGCTACAAAAAATTCAAGATTTTTGCTGTTCATACACTTCTGCTGGAGGGATAAGCCCCATCCTGCAAGAGAGACAAAATCAAAGGCAGCAGAGTAAACTACTTAATAAACATTTTAATTCTCCATTGAGGTGATTTTTTTTTTTTCTGTTCCTACTTTCAACATTCTAACATGTCTTTTCTTAGAAACCAAGCCCCTTCCATGATTCTCAAAGGGAAAAATAATCTAAAGGCAGTGAATTGTGACTAAAAGACTGAAAAGAGAATTTTTCATAATAGTATGAACAGGAAGATGTAATTTAGTCTTGAGTTTTTGATGAGTTATACCTCTTCTCTTTAAGCTTTTTCATCATTTTTTCTCCCTCTATATCTTATTTTAATAACCTTCCTTCCAGTTATGCTGCAACCCTTTCTTTCGGGCTTCTATGGCTGTCATTTTTTCATAGCCACAGAGTCAGCCCAGAAAGAAACTGAGGGCAAAAAAGTTGTTTTTCCAATTGTTATTCCAATTTGAGTAACTACAAGGTGAAATTTATCTGCTGACAAAGACTCTTTGTTCAGTAACTTCTCTGACTGTGTGCAGTGTGATAGTCCCTAAAGTTTCCCCACTGCAAATCCTTAAGCTGCACCAGCAAACTCAGGCAAACACGTTATTTTACATTTTTAACTGAAATGCTTTTTGTTTTTATTTTAATGAATCCCCTAACTCCAAGTTTAATTAAACTCATGTTTTTTAATTAATTACCAACAAATGCAAATACGGCAAACTACACAAACATGTATTCACCATTCCCTGATAGATACGTGGGTGGGTTTTTTTTTAATCCTGAAGTGTCAGGATTTAAAAATCTCAAAGTCTTGAGGGTTACAACCCAAAAATTCTTTTCAACTGGGGCTTTATGAGAATATTTTAGTAGTGTATGACAGGGAGCTCATCTGCTTAAGGGAGGAGAAAGCAAACTGCAGGTTCTTTAGCTTTTAGCCTTTTTATTCTTGCTAAACAACAGTGACACTCATCAGATTTAGGCCCGTGCATATATTATTATAAGGGAAAAAAAGTCAAATACAAGAATTTCATAGAATCACAATTATCTTCAATTTCCCTAAATGCTGACAAGTGTTGATTCAGAAAAATGCTCTCTCTAGTTATTTAAGTGCAACTAAACCAGAAATCCTAAATGAAACACATAAGAGTTCAAGCATCAAACTCAAATGCTCAAAGCCCAGGAACCCCAAATTTAAGACATGCAATATAATCATGCTTAAAAATTAGAAACTTTCTCCTGTGAGGACAATACACAGTTGAATTACTTTTTTTTAACTACATAAGTACTATTCTCAGGAGGAAAAATTTCAAGATCTCATGAAATATTACTCTGAAGAGTTGCTTAGAAATTTCTTGGCTTCTCTGATCATTTTTTCAGCCTAAACTTTGCAAAAGCAGTCTGTCCCTAATATGTGGGATTATTTAAATCATTAAAGCAAGCAGCAATATTTGTTTCTGCTCCCTTCCTGGGCTTGCCATGGATGAATTTGGCTCTGTCCACGTCTAGTTCAGCTCGATCTCACAGTCCCAGGATGACCTGAATCCACACACAGAGATCTTGAGTTTGCTTAAATCCTGAGCTCAGTTCTTGAGCTCTGGTCCTCCTGGATCCCAGCCCAGAGTCCTGGCCCTCTACACCCTGGACACGAAGTCAAGCCAGCACTGGAGTACTCAGCAAGTTCCCTGGACAATGTATTTTCCCATCAGTCAGCAGGTAAGAGCTGCTTTCCCTACTTGGCAAAGGGTTTTCTTATTTGCAGCAGCATTACACACCTTTGGGGAACATATTCTGCAAGTGTTTGCAAGCACTCATGTTTCCACTTCTTTTTAGAGTCATTTTTAGGTCGTATTTTGAGTTTTATATGTCTTTATATTAATATATTTTACATATTTTCATAAATTTTGTATTTTTCATGCACATACACAACTCCCTAGGTACACATCCACAGAACTTCTCCTACTTCTCCCCATCCAAAATAACAGGCAGATTTCTCCATCGATCACCATGGGCTGGAAAGAAGAGATTAAATGACTGACACTAAGCCACCTTTACCTCCATAAAGAGGTTTTCTGCCCCCTGAGATGCCAAATGCGAATGCACAAGTTAGTGGGGCCTCTTTTCCCACCAAAAAAGGAAATAAACAACTTAAAAGGGAAACTACCAGCTTTGAGACCTGACTATATTGATAACTTCTGGGCTAGTAGGAATTTTTCCAGCTCTCTGTCCCTCCGTTTGCCCAGATGAAAAATGGGAATACGCTGCCCCTAATGATCCTATGCAAAAATTTAATTATGTTTAGCTTATCTAATTGATGTATTTTGAGGAGCTTGGCAAAAAGATGTCATATGTGCAAAGCTATTTGTTGTGTTTAAAGATATTTGTGCTCTCATCCTTGGGAAAATTCCTCACGTTCCCTGTCCTGCTGCACTTAGCAATGATCCTATCTTGATTGTGTTCCAGCTACCCAGTGTCAAAAATAATCAGGAATAGGCAAGTTGAAGCACAAGAGTGTTCTGTGGAAGGCTGTGAATCCATTGGCTCCTCCTTCCCCTCCTTGTCCTGTCTAAACACATGCAATCCTTTGGAAACAATAAATAAATAATTAAACCAGCAGGGCAATGTCCACTCGTCTCCTGAACAGCTCCTGTAACATGATAGTCCTTAGGCAGCCATGCAAGATTTATCATCAGAATTTCAAGGCTTGAGAAAGCCCTTAAAATATCCCCCATCACCCCAGACAGCTCTTCCAAAAAAATGAGGAAATAAAGATATTCCCTCTTTTGCTTTTTCCCAGTTTCCTTCCAGCCCACAGGTTGGCGAGAGGCGCGGGGATCGTCGAAACCATCTTCAGCAAAAAGGGGTTTTCCTTCCTTAAGAAATATTGCAAACAGAAGATTCCCATGTTTGAAAGGTCAGAGGAAAAAAACATAATGCACTCATGAAGAGACAACCTCATTAATCCTGTTGTTCTTGGCCCAGTCAATAGAAGAAACATAAATGCTGTCAACACTGCACTGCTAGATAAAGGATAAAAAGTGGGAATGAAATGTTTTACTGCAAGGACTGCTCTTATGGTTTGAGAACATTTCTGGAAATAACCTGAGCTGAGAAAATGTTCCCTAGGAGGAATACATTCTGTGGGAAACTGTGTGGAAGATAAAGTTTGGTCAGTGACCTTCTCACTATCCTCTAATCACACAGCACACACTGCTCCAAAGAGAAAAAAAGGGATACTGTGCAGCTAGAGACACTTTACCTTCCCCACATTACATGAATTGAAGTGGAAAACACAAGAGTATCATAAATCTCTATTTCATGCTTTCAGATACTGTAGTGAAATAATAATCTACTGTAACTCACGGGAAAAAAAATGTGACTTTTGGTTTAGGGCACTGCAATAACACCAACCGTGATACACCTTCGGTGAGCATAAAAACAAATGACTGGAAGTTGCTAAAAGGGGAACTTGTCTTTTCATCTGTGCAACATTAGAAACGGGGAAAGAGCCTCACATTTCTCATCCAAGAGCAGGAATAACAGAGAAGGGGAAGGCACGAGGTGAGACCTCTCCTGTGCAGGCAGCTCCCAGGGATGAGACAGAAAAGCTCAGTTTAAATTCTCACACATTAATGCAGCAGCAGCAGCATTTCAGACACTGTATCTGTACAGACAGAGAGAGTAAATATTGGTTCATGTAGTTACTCCTGGGAAGATTAGGGAGACATCAAATATGGATGTCCCCAGCACTCCATACGCAGGGAGGTATTGGAAAATTCCCACTTTTAGATATTTGTGAGGAATATCGCTTTTCCACTTCTTTTTATTTATTATTTTTTATTTGTCCTTTGAAAGCAGAATTACTGTAATTACTGTCTGTAAAAGGTGGTTATTTGAAGACGGGTGTTACACGCACGGAAATGTCAAAGCTTTTTTGGTTTCTGCAGCACGAATCTCGGGAATGCAGTGTGATCTTCCTGAAATGGCATTACTGGGGTAATGCCACAGCACAGGAGTTGGGTAAATATTTTCCTTGTGCTCATCAGTTCCTGGCTGTTGACAAATACACTACCTAGAGCAGTAATGCAGAGTAATGATGTCATTACTGGGGGATAAACATCGCAGCTGTCGTGTGTGCCTATAGTTCTTGCAAAACAGAGCTGAGGGTGAATTAGTTTGTGTACTCCACATCTTTCAAATATTTCACTAATCACCATAGAAATAATGAACTAATTCAGACACAGGCAAATCTAAAGTGCTCCAGTTCAAAATTGCTGTTTTGTTTTTGTGGGGGTTTTTTTTTGTTGTTTTTTTTTTTTTTTTTTTGGAAGGATCCTTAAAGATAAAGAGAGTGGAGTGGACAGAATGAAATCGCTTTATGTCGCTGTCCCTTGCTGGTTTCCAATGGGACATGAAACAGCGAGGGTGCAATGACATATTCTCTGATTTTACTTCCATCCATCTGGATCCAAGAACTACCAGAAGTCTGACAAGACAGCCTGATTTCCAGCCAGATTTCTAGAAATGTTAATAAGAGTTCCTTATTCAAAAAGCACCTTCAAAACTTTTTAACTAGCAGGAAGAGAACCTCAGATGTCTCATCAGCCACCACAATTACTCCTGGAAAAAGACCAAGAAGTGCCCTGCAGAATTCTTCTGCATGTGAATGTCTGTATGTAATCAAACCTGCATACATCAAAGCATAGAGATACCTCATCCATGTACAAGATAATGCAGGTAACTAGAGGTCAGGAAAAAACCTTCTGGAAAACCTTCAAGGGATGGACAGAAAGGAGCAGCGTTTTAACAGATGCTCGCTTGAGAACTTCATTCAAAATAAATTTCTGTATTTAAGTGTATTAATTTATATATTAAGGAGATCCTTGCCTTTGCTGAGAGCTTTCCAAGTGTAAACCAGGAACAGCTCAGAGACTCACAGAGGATGGAGCACCATTTCCAGCGCTTTGGTCAGGTACATATCAGCTGCAAAACGAGCTCAGGACCACACAGGACCTGCAGAGGCTCTGTGGGGTGGTTTATGGCAATAGCAGAAAGTCACCAGCAGAATTTTCTTGCTCCATTTTGTGCAGTGTAACTTAATGGCATTATCGACATCTTCTGTGATATACATCCTGTGATCAGTGCAATTACTGCATGTCATCACCACTGTAAATTTACCCAGCCTGAAACCATTTTAAACTTAAACTGCATACTTAAGAACTACTATCCACCTCCTCTTTGTAAATTAGCTGTATGATTTATCTGTGGGAACCATTTCAAAAAGTATACATTCAGAAATACATATACCACATGATGTCTTTTCCATATGGCATCTCATAATTATTTTGCTGTGTGTGAACATGATGAAAACAGTTTCATAATTCTCTAAGGGTTAGGGTAAATTATTTCAATTAGACATATTTCAGAGCAAACATTACCTTAGGGTTTATTAATAATAGTACCTGAGAAGGAACAGCTGCCTTTTAAGCAGCGAGAGCTGTCAACTTCTCACTGCCCCCCTGTAGCACCCCTTTTGTGACTCTAAAAAAATGGTAGATTTTCTCATGCTTTACCTAAACAGAGAACTTGGCAGCAGAGACCTGGTTGTAATCCTCAGCAAGGGAGCTGGTGGGTGGATTTTTTTCTCTATAAACTCTTGTACAAACCACACCAGTCTCCTGGTATTTATTTTGTGTAATGTTGGAAATCATACACAGATCCAACAGGCCATGTAAAGGAGTTTTGTAACTTCCTGAAACTCTTTCAGGCAAAAATCTTTTCTCCAACAGCAGTCCCAGGCTGTCAGGATAATATCGTCATTTTTTAAAGGCAAGGTTCCTCAACTATTTTAATAGGACAGCTTTGAAAAGACAAAATGCAAATCTAAATTAGATCAGCTGATTATTAGGAATTGCTGTTGGAATTATTAAAAAGAAAATTAGCTCCATTGTCAGAGCATATGGACTGGTTTGCAAGCTTGCCTTGCAGTTTTCAGTGTTGTTTTGCTTATTTAGTTGTTTTTATATAGCAAAACTCTAAAATTCTGGGCCTTGATGTTGAATGACCGATTGTGTGGGAATACCCCTCTGCTCAGATCAGCCCACCTGCTTTGATGTTCCACGCAAGTTCTTCTCCCTCTTTGCAAGGAACACTTTAATTTCACTCACAAATGCCTAAGGATCCATGTAAACCCCCAAATCTGAAAGGGAAGCGTGCTGAGAGCCAGCCAAGGAGCAGACATGGAAAATCTCTGCCTTTCCTCACCCTCCACAGTGTGCAGAGGGGTGAGTGAACTGACCCTGAATGCACAGTCACTAAAGCTGGGATGAAAAAAGGGACAGAGTTACGTCTGCTGGCTAATAAATAATGCAGGTACAGTCTCACAGAGGGCTGCTGGGACTGAGCACTCCTTACAACCTGTGGGCTGCAGGAAAAGGGTCGTGGGAGTTGCAGCTCTCAGTCAGAGTGGGAGGTGAGCGCATCAGCCCTCCCCAAAATCCTGCTTATCCCAGCCTCATGCATGGAAGAGGGATAAAAGCACCCAGCACGGGAAACGCAGAATTTTAAACTGAAGTACCTCCAGTAAGAGTTGAACTTACTGAGTTTTAAAATTAGTGTGTTGAGAAATCAGTTCTCACCTTGGCTGCCAGTCTTTGATCCAGCAATGCTTGTGTGCCTGTGGGGAGTGGATTCTTATTTAATTTATCAATTCCGCCACAAATATTTACATACAGACAGACAAAAATAGCACAAAAAGTGAGAAAGAGCAGGTACTTATATGCAGAACTGTGTGTTGCACACAGAATCACAGACTGATTTGGGTTGGAGGGCACATTTAAGACCATCCAGTCCCACCCTCTGCAGGGACACCTTCCACTACCCCAGGTTGCTCCAAGCCCCATCCAGCCTGGCCTTGGACACTCCTAGGGATGTGAAAACCCATGAAGGCCAATTCCAGGCTATCCAAAATGCTCAGTTAGCACCCAGACAAACATGATTCTTCCACGACATCATTATCATATTTTAATCTTTTCGTCTCAACCACAAGAGGATAAAAGCATTTCCAAACAGAAAGGATAGGTAAAAGGATTTCAAGCTATAAAATATTTTCTTTTGATTCAGGTCCTAGTAGTTTTGCCTGGCTCAAGTTCAGGAACATCTATAACTTTGTTGAGTAATTTCCAAAGGCCACTTGCCTGTGTCTTTGGTCAGGAACACCTTTATCTCTGAAATTGCCACTTTAAATATGAGAGAAGCCATTTGCTCCTCTGCCACCTCTGGTGCAGTCAAGCCTGTGCATTTCTACAGAGGTTTTTGCCTGTCCCTTTTCCAGGGGGATCCAGGCAGGTCCCAGCCCTGCAAGGACCTTCAGCACTGGTGCTCCACACCCAAAAGTTCTGGGCCAGACTCTCTGTGTCCTGCTCCAGTGTGTAGAAACCCATAAGAAGTGAAGGAATGGGAACTCTGAGATCTCTTTAATAAATTGAAAAAACAAACTTTTGTCTAATGTTTGGACTTTGAAATTGGTTTTTAGTTTGGGGAAGAATATATTCCCAATTATGGAAACCTCTAATCTCTTTCCCCATGTCATCCAAGGAAGGGACCGACCTCTGGCCTTTGCTTTCCTCTCTACTTAATTCCTTTATTTGTTCTCCTTCACTCACTCACTCCCTAACCAGACAATCTGTGTTACAGTTCACGTGCTGCTGTACTTTTCAAAATACCACCTTTTTCTGGGTTCAATTCTTTTTGGGCAGCTCTCCTGAAGCCATGAAGCTTTCACACTGGCCCTGTCTGCCAGACCTTTTCTCCCTTAACCACTTGCCAATTCACTGGCTTATTTCAATCCAATTTAACAGAGAGGTAGAAGTCCTGAAGATAATTAAATTCCTGTAACTTCTGTAAACATTGGCAGCTGGAGGCAGGTAGGGGAATGAAAAGAGGGCCTCTGTCACAGCAAAAACTGCAGTCATAAGTTTAGCTTGGATATTAGGAAAAATTTCTTCACCAAAAGGGTTGTCCAGGGCAGTGGTGGAGTCTCCATCCCCACAAGGGATTTAACAGCCACGTGCATGTGGCCCTTGGGAACATGGCATTGTGGTGGCAGGGCTGGGGAATGGTTGGGCTCAATCATTGCAGGGAGATTTTCCAACCTAAGCATTTCTAGGAGGTTCTACAGGAACATTTCTGCTGGTCTGGGCTCAGACAAGAGGTAAATGTGAGACACAGCACCTGGGGGAAACTGAGGCACCATGGTGAAGGATGGCTATGTTCAGATCCTTCATATCAAAAGATGAAGAATCCAAATACTGAATCTGCAGGGGCAATGAGACTTCAGGAATTCTGCATCTCAAGCTACAATGTTAACTTTGCTCCTCCTTCCCACAAGTGCTGATTCTCAAGTCCCAGTTTCACCGAGTTTCTGCAGAAATGTAGAAGAGCTGATGTGGTACCTGGTACTCAGGGAGGAGAATCTAATTCCAGATTCAGATTCAAAATGTTATCCTCAGCCTGCAGGAAAGCTAATGACAGGAAGACAGTGAGTACTTGTATTGTTATTTGTGTTTACAACCACTTCTGGTGCAGGACACGGCTTGTGCTGCTCTCATACCTGTTCACAACATCATTGCATGAGTGACTGGGGTATAAATTGTGCTCAGCAGTTGCACAATATCCTTTATTGGCAATGGGATTCGGCTGGGAGTCAGGAGACAAACTTCCATCTGTTAGCAAAAGGTTGTGGGGCTGTGAAAAGTTATATATTTTTTTTTTTCCTTCTCTGTCCTTTTCTCTCCCACACTTTGTCTTTTTCATTAGTTGGAGCTAAAAGTCCTCGAGCAGAAAGGCCTCTTTTTGCACCAGATGTTTGCATGAGCCTAACACATTGGGAAAATTTCTTAGTTCAGGTCCAGATGGGCTATTGCAAAGAAGATAATATCAAGACTAGCAAATACTGATGTTCTTATGTCTATATGACAACATCACCTTTGAAATGGGAACACTTGTCTGTATACGTTATGAGAAAACATTTTTACTTGCATATTTAGCTGTAACAGCCCCACTGAAGTGCAAACATAAGATCTTAAAAGTACCTCCATCAAATTTAATGGATAGCCTGACAGAGATCAAACTTGTTTTCTGCAAAGAGATTAATAATCTTATGACATCTAAGATTTTGCCATGCCTGTCTTGTTTCTGTTTCTCTTGCTCTGAGAGAAAGGCTGGACCTCTCCTGAATGTTGTCTACCACCCATGAGCTTGGCTCAAGACCCATCTATAAATTTCATTTTCCTCTTAAACGGACGAAATTTTCCTTGACGAAGGTGATTATCAGGTATTAAAGGCTAATCTTATAATAAATTTGTGAATTAGTAAGCTTATTTCTTAACTAGTCAAAAGCAAATCCCTCTTGCTCATACCTTGTTACGCTGGCATCGCGTGCTATCGTATCTCTGGAATTTAATCGTTTGTCAGGGTAAAAAATCCCAAGCAGAGATATTTGCCCACTGAAATGAGCCAGGGTGGCCAGGTTACTACCCATAACATGGGGTTCTTTTAAGATTTTTTTTAAATTTAATCCCAAAGGGCTTTTATTTTGTGTCAACTCGTACAATAAAGTTCTCTTTTATGAGGCTGACTTCGCTCATGTGTTGTTAGCGCACTTAATTAAACTCTGAAATGCTCAATTCTTTCTGGGGCCCTAATTCTGTTCTATACAAACATTGCTGTGTGCCCTCAACGAGGGAAAGTCAATGTAATTCGACACAAATTTCAAAGACCTCCCCAAAGCGTTTGTTTGTGTGTTGGGAAAAGGAGAAGGGAGGGAAGGAGTTGGATCCTTGGTTTGGAGTTGCCCCCGTTTTGAAGGTGAGGATCGTCTGAAACGCTTCTAAATCCCCCTGCAGTCTGGAAGCATGGCTTGACTCCGGTCCAGCTGTACCCAAAAGCAGGGATAAATTATGCATGTGAGGGGCTGCAACAGCCTTCACATTAAATATTGATCTGCTGGTGCTGTGCCACGCTGCGAGCCCGAGCATCTCCAGCTCCACCTGTCTGCTCCGTGGTGACGGCCGCTCCCGCAGGACCGGCTCTGGCGTGGCACACAAAGCCTCCCGTCTCAAATAGGTGGGTCCAGAGCAAATTTCCTCAGCTTAATTTATTCCACACCCTTGCTAGCATAACAAGTGTTCCTCAGCCTCTGTGGATATGTATTCGAGAGGGAGCTGTCTGTCTACATTTGATTTTACATTTCCTTCGGCTGGTTCAGAGATCCATAAGCAAAACCTGGCACCCAGGGACGTCCAAGAGGATTGTGAATTCATGAACAATAGATGGGTTACAGCCAGACATACCTTAACATTTTAATCTCTGACAGATAGGGTTTGGATAAATGCTATTGGGTAGCTATGTCTGACAGATTTATTCACCTGTATATGTATTTTACTTGACCATTTCTGAGCAGAAAGATGTCATAGGGGTGAGGAAACAAGAAGTGTCCTCCAAGGGTGGCCACCTGCACTCTCCCATTGCTGGCCTGGCAGAGCTACTTTTCAGCCAGCTGGACCACTAGAGCACGTGCAACACCATTTTCAAAGGAGAGACCAGGCACATTATCCAACAAGAGTAAGGAAAAACCTCTTTCCATTCCCACCCCAGCACTTTTTGATCTCAGTCTCCCGAGATAGTAGGGGCCATATCTTGGAAATGCCTGCAGCCTATGGGACAGATCATGCCCTCACAAGCCTTCTTTCCCACATCTTTTCCCCAGCCTCCAACATAAAACAGCAATTTTTTGACCTGGAGGAATTTCTGCAGCCACAAACCACTTCTGACCTCTATGGGTATTGCTGCCCCAAGAGACAGGCAAACCGCACCCAATATGACCTGGGTTTCAGGCACCAAAAATAAAAAAAAAATTATCCTTCCTGAGATCTACCTCCCATCCTGCAGCAGTTCTCCTATCTCCAGACACAGGTCCTTGAGGTCCATCAGAATACTGGAGGCAGATTCTTCTCCAGCCCACTTGCTTGTCTCATTCACTTGTCAATGTGCTTCTTGTAAAGGTGCTGACATTTGTCTGAGACATCAAAACTGTAAGACTGAATCAGATCTGTGAAGAATACAAATAACTGTGAGTGTTAAGTAACTTTCTTAACGTGAAATAACTGTAAGCAGTTTTCCCAGCATTCGTGCATTACATCCAAATTTCTAAGTTATAGTGAGTCATCAAAACTATTTCCAATTATTTTATTAGATGATCCAAACCAGAATCTGAGCAGCCTGACCACATGAAAAGCTGGAAGGGTTAAAGTAGGGAACTTAATGGCTCACTTTAGTTAAACATTTCCAGTTAAGTCACATATTGAAGTTTTTCCACACCTGAAAACAGAATCTTTCTGAAAATTACTTAGTAAAGAATTAGTGTGGCATGCCCATTGACTAGGTATTCCAACCAGATGGAAAAGTCTTACATGCTCAGCCTTTAATGGATTTCCTTTCTTTCTTTATTTTTTTTTTTTCCTAATTGTAACAAAGCCAAGAAGGCACAAAATTGGAGAAAACAATGAAATAAAGAAAAAAATAGGAGAATCATACCTTCTTATTATTTTTACAGGAAGACTTGGGTTTAACTCTTGGGAGGAGACTCAGCTCAAATGACATTTCCACACAACCAGTACATCCTCTCCTATCTGCTGCACTGAGCTGGGTTCAAGTTAGCTGAATAGCAATGACTACCAGGCCAGTTGTGGATCTGACATTCAGAATTAAGCAGATGGCAAGCACAAAAATACAGTCTGGGTTAAATACTGACCACATTTGCCAGAGGAACAGACAGAGAAACCCCAGCCACATCCAGATCATAGGCAGAGCACATCCAGATCTACCAAAACAGTGAAAGCAGAAATCAGTATAAATTATTCTGTGCTAATAGTACATGGACATCTGACAGTATTTTTCTTTTCATGCCCTGCTTTTTTTTTTTTTTTCCCTTCAAAAGGATGGAATTTCACTCTGTACCGGACAGTTTGGCCAAGAGATTTTTCCCAAATGGATGCAATCCCCTTTCTGATGTGAGTGCCTAACACCAGTCTCCTGCCACTCCATCCAGCCACGCTGCCGGGTAGGAGGTGATATTTAAAGCCATGCCAAGGGAACACAACAGGGGATAGGCAGAGCACAGGCAACAGAAGGAGGATTTTGCAAGAGCTCACTGGGTCACGATAAACTCCTTCTCTGGCCACATCCAGTGTCCAGCCCGTATGTCTGAAGATCTTTGCTGGAAAGCCTTTGTTATTTGTTTGGAAATTTACTGTGGCTGGGGTTTAACTCTGTGTTTTGGAGCTGTTCTTTCATTGATATCGGGTGCTTCATCCTCCATAAACAACAGTCAAAGGAGGACAGCGAGGCAGGCGATCAATACCACTGGATGACCCGGTCTCTATAAGAATGTTACTTATACATCAAAAATTTCTGCTAAAGAAGAGAAAGCAAGTGCACAAGAGCTCGCATTTATGAGGTTAAGAGAATCCTACCTTTGGCTAAGCATCAGTAAAAGCCTTGCAGAGAAACTTCTTTGTTTCTGGCACAAATAAATATTTATTATTGCACTGGGGAAAGAAGTGCTCTCACAAAGCCTAACTATTTTAATAAAAAATTTAATATGTTTATTTCTTCCAGACAGGAGATAAAAAGCTGTCAGAGAAATAATGGTTTAAATTACAGTGAGATGTTTCCTTGCCTAATCTTTCTCTTTCTTCTTTCCCAAAAATCTACGTGGCATGCTCAGAAATTTTATTTTTAGTGAGAAATGTCAAGGAAACACTTTATGGTAAGTGGCTGCTCTCTATTAATTCTTTTGTTATTAAATGTGGGAACATTAATTACCATTAATCATTTTGGCTCTAGTAAAGATTTCCCACAATAAATTCTTTAAACACATATACAAACCCTATAATCTAATCAAGTAATTTTCTTCTACCTACTTGGAAGGGAGAAAACAGCAGGACTGTTATTGTTACTTCTATTTTTTTTAATTCTGAGGAGGCGGAGAAGAAACTGGCAATGGGACCTCTATTGGAACAGAGAAAAACCCAATAACTATTCCTACAGGCAGTGTATGTGCTTCTCAATAATAATCATGCCTTAGAAGAGGTAAAGTGCCTTAATAAAATGCAAAGAAATTCAGCAAGCAAGAGATTTATGCAGCTCTAAGTCATCAAGGAAATATATTTCTCTGCAAAAGCAAAGATAATAATGAAACTTTGTTTTTCCTTGAGAAAATAAAAAGTAATACCTGAATTAATTCTGCAGCAATTAGCAAGATGCTTCCTAATGTAGCTGTGATACAGCCCACATTTCCAGTGCTGACAATAAAGTTCACATTTAGTGACGTAAACATAAGTTTATTGAGATAAAGAGGAAATGTAAAGTTACAAACACAGGTTGCTGTTGTCCAGGTAGTCACAGAGCTGTGCTCTGTTGTTTTTCACAGGGTAATGCTGGGCTGCTGAACTCTTTTTAAACCTGCCATCACCAGATTCACAGATTTTCACACTGGCAGGTGCATTTTTTAAACCACAGCGGGCAATTCCGCACAATAACATTGTCATTACTCCTCAGAAGCCCTAATTTGAATAAACATGATGAATGAATACACTGCATTTCTCAGAACAAACAAGCTGCAACCTCCAGCTTAAGCACAGAAGCCACGGTGTGACTGATTAAGTATGGATGCTGCTTGCCAAATCTCACTTTCACTTTTAAACTTGTAATTGTTCTCAGAGTGAAGTTTCCATAATGAACAGTTAAAGACATTTACATCTAATATTGATTTACAGCTGGAGTCTTTGCATTAAAAAGTGTCTTAGGTACTTTGGGCTGTTACCACCAGTCAAGGTCTGTGCGGGCAGAGGAGAATAACTCCATGAGGATTCCCTTCACTGGGATGTGATCCACAGGTTGCACTCCAAAATCCACAGTCATTCATCCAAAATCCAGCAGCTAAATAATACAGCCACATCCCAGCAGCTCCTCAAGTCCTTTCAGCTCATGTTAAACACTTTAATCCATCCTTGCAGAAGTTTAACAAACGGGTTTTATCTCTCCACTCATGCCTTTCCCCACTCCAGACACTGCTTCTGCCTCTAAGCTTCAGATTTTCTGGAGTATCTGATCTCCTCCACAAATTTCCTTTTGTTCCCTAGGACTCTGGTGTCCTTTCAGTCTTCTTTCAAGGCATTCTAGACACACAACATTTAATATAAAACTCAGTCTTCTAAGATAAGATAGCCAAACCTTACTTCTCTTTTTTTTTAATTTTTCTTCCAGAAACTCCCTGAACTGATATAACACTTCACAGCTGGGTCAATTCCTATATCATATCCTATTTCCTTTCCTAAATCTGTTGCCTTTACAGACTGCAAACCACTTCTTCCAGCAGGCAGCTCAAAAGTATTTCCAAGTAACTTGCAGCTGCTGAGCTGCTCCAGGGGGTCTAGACCGTCTATGTGAGATGATACATGGATGTTCCCACTCTTTTCGTAATAAAATCCTCTAGAGGGGAAATAATGAGGGTCATCACAGGTTATATAAATTCCTTACTGATGGAAATAAATTCAAAAATAGTAATTACTCCAGTAGTTCCCAGAGAATCTTTGTGGAGAACATCAACAGAGGTGCAATCCTGGACTTTGGAGCATCCTGCCCAGGGCAGTGGTGGAGTTCCCATCCCTGGAGGGATCTAAAAGCTGTGTGGATATAGCCCCAGGGGACATGGCTCAGTGGTGGCATTGGCATTGCTGGGGAATGGTTGAACTTTATAACCTTAGAGGGCTTTTCCAACCCTAATATAACAATAAACCCCACGATTTGCCAAAGCACTGCTGGGAAAACCTGACTTCCCATCTGCTCGGCAGAGAAATCACACCGAGGCCCCTCCAGTAACGTGGATCTAAAAAGGCAGGAACGTGAAAAACTTCCTTTTCACCCCTTCCATCCACCAGCAGAGCTGAGGGTAACCTACTTTCCCCAGGAATCCCTGTGATTATGAAGAGCACAGGCACAATGGCAGGGAGCACACGGCGCTACCTCACATCGTTTGAGAACGTTTTAGCACCCAAGGACCCGACATCCCACGGCTTTCCCTCCTCCCAGGATGTCATGGAGTTATTGACATTGACAGAACCAGGTTAACAGAGACTAAAGGAACACTACAAATTCCTGCCCCTAGCAGGAAGGATTGAATAATTGCTTCTTTTCCCCCTTTCTCTATTTTTTTTTTTTCCTGGTGTAAAAGTTCTCAAGCTCTGGACAACAACAGGTTGCATTACAGGTTGTTTCCCACCATGTTGAAAATGTGCTTTGCATTTTTCACCCTTATCAGGTAGCCTGGACCGTTCTCAAAATGACTCAGTAAAGAGGTAAAATTTGAGGTATCATTTTCTTCAGTTGTATAAACCCCAGCATTTCTAGAAATTATAATCTGAGATCACATATCATATCTGTGTTATAAGAAAAAGAATGAAATAAAATCCAAATTTTGAAAAGAAATGCGGAGTTTTCTTAATTTAGCAATTTATCACAATTTATGCCACAGATACTGAAAACTACCCTTTGTCTCAATATTAGTCAGACATATCCAGAAAACAAAAAAAAAATAAAAGAGCTGTAATATTTACCAGCACTGCATTTTTAGTAAATTTAGTCATCTTTTTCATATCTTTTCCAGCAGATTATTGTCACTTTCTGAGGAAAAAAAAATAAAAGAGAAAATAAAAATGAAAAATCCAAACATTTCCAGTTTCTGCTGTAGAAGAGACAAAATGCCTGTGACTTTAGAGAACCTGTCACAAGTTATAAGCATAAACAGCACAGTTTTATATCTTCAGGAATAACTTCAAATACACAGAACAGCCCCCTGGTTTTAATCTTATTTTTTCCCTTAATAATTGACCTATATAAGCAACCAAATCCTTGGTAGATTGTAGTAGCATAATTTAAATTTCTCTTACGTGTACTGTAGAGTTGTCACTGAGGTCTCTAACCAATCATTATGGAAGACTGAGGGCTGGAGTGATGCTTTGGTTGCCGCAGTATTTAGGGGGGGAAAAAAAAAAGGGAAAGCAGTAAAAAAAAACCCAACTAAACCCTCTAGAAATGAACAACCTGGTGGAGGTTTCAATCCATTAGCAGCATTGAGCTTGCCAGTTCTGTACTGCAGCATTTGACAAGGCTCTGAGCCAGAGATTAAGGCACGTCTCCTGAGGAAGGAAAAGAACAGGAGCTTCCACACTTCATTAAGGATATGTTTTATTTGCAAACTGCCAACCCACAGAGTGGCACTGACTTTTGGGTCATGGAAAAGGTTGCAGTTGTGCACTTGAGCCGTGCCAAGCTGACTTGGATAATACCCCTAAAAAAGCAAATCAAAGAAAAAATGATAAGGGAAATAGGGAAATCCATTATTGCAAACCACCTAAAATAGGACTTGAAATGTAACTTGTGCTCCAGTCAGGATTTTCCTCCTCAAAAACCGTGCTAAAGCAGGACAAGAGCCCAAAACAACAGGGAGCGGTTAACTACAAAATGCATATTCAGGCTGTGTATTTTTTTTATACTTTAAATATACATTCTCAGATTTATTTCACAGTGATTGCTATAAAAAATGCTAATATCCCTATAGAATCGAGCCTTATCTCTATTTGATGCTTCGCCAAAGACTGTACTAACATTCCACAACTGTACACATTTTTTAAATTTTTTTTTTTGCTAAGCTATTGTTGTTTTTTTCCTGGCTTGTTTTTCAAAATCCAAATAGAAGTATGTAGTTTATATGGTTTAGAGCATAAATCATAAATCACTTGTCATAAAGGGCCAATTCTT